TTTCCCAGAACCATTCATTGAAAAGACTGTCCTTTCCTCATTGAATGGTCCTGGCACCTTTGTTGAAAATCAGCCAACCATTGTATATGAGGGTTTATTTCTGCGCCCTTTATTCGAGTCCATTAGTCTCTATGGCTGTCCTTCTGCCGTTTCACACTATCTTTATCACTGGAGCTTTGTAGTAGGTTTTGAAATCAGAAAATGTGAGTCTTCCAATTTTGTTCTTCTTTTTCAAGATTTTTTTTTTTTTTTGTGGCTATTTGGGGCCCTGTGAGAATATATATAAATTTTAGAAAGATTTTATCGATTTCTGCAATAATGCTGGAGGGAATCTGTGAGGGATTGCGTTGAATCTCTAAATTGCTTTGGGTATTATCATCATCTGAATAGTATTAAATGTTCCAAACCATGAACACAGGGTGTTTTTCTTATTTATATCTTTTTTATATTCTTATAGCAGTATCTGCAATTTGTAGTGTACGAGTCTTTTGCCTCCTTAGTTGAATATATTCCTAATTGTGATTCTTGATGCTGTTTTGAATGTCGATTTCTTAATCCCCCTTTCAGATTTTTTTGTTAGAGTATAGAAATACAACTGATTTTAGCATGTCAGTCTTCCATCCTGCAACTTTAATGCATTTATTTGTTAGCTTTAGATTGAAGGCATGTCTTAGTAATCTTTAGGGTTTTCTGTAGATAAGATCATGTCATTTGTGAACAGAGATCGTATTAGTTGCTTTCCGATTTGGGTGCCTTTTATTTCTTTTTCTTGCTCTATTGCACTAGCTAGAACTTCCAATGCAATGTTGAGTAGAAGATGCAAAAGCCAGCATCCTCACCTTGGTTTTGCTCTTAGGGAAGAGCTTTCCATCTTTCACCATAAAATACGATGTTAGCTTTGGGTTTGAGACATTTTATTAGAGACCAGAGTTACTCTGATCTTCTTAGTGTATCTAACTGTAGTTTTCCTATCCCAAAGGAACCTACTCAACAGGGCTTATGGGATACATATTCTTCTGGCTGAGAAGCAATTTCACTTGGTAAATACTTTCAGAGGTCATATTTAGGTAATAAAATTGGCATGTTTATGTGATATTTTTGGCATTCCAACACCCATTAAATTTGAAGCTTTGGGGGAAAGTAACGTGTTTCCACATGTTGAACACATCCCAGAGTTCTGGAGGCATATGAGGCCGGGCAAGCAGCAGGTGAGGAGTGAGCTGGAAGGAATGTGGGAAACAGTGGCAGAAGGAGGTGTGGGGCAACGGTTTAGTATGGGTACAGAGAGGGTCCTTGAGTGGCCAGGAAGGCCCATTCTCTATGGCAGAAGAGGGAGCCAGGAGGCTGTGAACCCCTCCCCCAGGCTTGCAGGGATGTGGGTGGAGGGGAGAAAAACAGCGTCCCAGGAAAGTGAGGCTGCAGGTTGAAGAGGTGGAAGATGTGTTTGCAGGAGGGCCCGGGCCTGGGAGGCTGTCCACGCAGACTCATCAGACCCACGTGGGCTTTGGGGAAGCCCACAGGAGGCAGCACAGTGTGGTCCTGGGAGCTGGCCGTGGTTGATTGGGGTGTATACGTCAGAGTTCTCCAGAGGAACTGAAACATGTATGTGTCTGTACAGAGATTTATCTTAAGGAATTGGCTCGTGTGACTGTAGGGGGCTGACAAGTCTGAAGTCCATGGGCCAGGCTGGCAGTCCGGGAACTCAGGCAGGAGTTTGCTACAGTCTTGAGGCCAGATCCCTTCTCGGGGAAACCTCAGTCTTTGCTCTTAGGCCTTCAACACATTGCACGAGGCCCACGCCCATTATGGAGGGTGATCACCTTTACTCAAGTCCAGTGATTACAGATGTTAACCATGCCTACAGAGTACTTTATCTATCTATCTATCTATTTATCTATCTATCTATCTATGATTTATTTATTTAAGAGGGAGAGCGAGAGTGCACGCACATGCGTAGTGGGGAGGGGCAGAGGGCGAGAGCGTCTCAAGCAGACTCCGTGCTCAGCAGGGAGCCCGACGCGGGGTTCGATCTCACCACCCTAAGATCGGGACCTGAGCCGAAACCAAGAGTCAGACGCTTAACCGACTGAGCCACACAGGTGCCCCCACGGAGTACTTTTAGAACAGCCTCTAGGTTGGTGCTGGAGCCTCGACCCATGAGACTCGCCACCCCGGGGCCCAGATTTGCAGGGCTGGGGACTGCTGGCCTGGCCAGAGCCTAGAGGGAGGTGACCCGCCACAGCTGTGCCCATGCAGGGAGTGGAGTGCTCCCGCCATCTTGTGAGCCCAGCAGCCTCTTAGGGATTGTTCTTTGGTTTCTGTCCAGGTGGCTTAAAGGATCCTACACACTCGCAGGAAACATAGGTGGTTGGTAGTAAATGTTACAGGTTTAGGGCACTTCTGTTCCTTTTAGCTGAAATGACAATTTAGTAGTGTTTTTATATCTTGGGTCTGAATTAGTTTTCGAGGGCCACCAGAACAGAATAGTACCGACTGGGTGGCTCAAACACAGAAATTTATTTTCTCATGGCTCTGGAGGCCAGAGTCTTGAGATCGAGCTGTGGGCAGGGCTGTTCCTTCCGAGGCCTCTCTTCATGGGGTGCGGATGCCTGTCCCCTCCCCGTGTCTTCTTCCCACGGTCATCCGTCTGCCTATCTGTGTCCCGATCTCCTCTAACACCAGATCAGGGCCCACACTAATGCCTCACTGGAACCTTACCACCTCTTTCAAGACCCCCACCTCCAAATTCAGCCACATTGTGCGTCCTGGGCGTAAGGGCTTCAACTTCTGAATTTTGGGGAGGACCCCGTTTAGCCCATAACTGGGCCTTACCTTGATTTCTTTGCTATTTCAGTCGATGGAATGAATATCCTGACTTATGCACCCATCTGATTTTAGGTTTCCCCTGGGAAGCTTCTGTGAGTCTTTGATTTCTGAATTCTTAAAACCTCAGACTGTGTCTGGAGGGAGCTTCTCTGCCACAGGTGCGCGGGAGGTGAGGCGTGGGGCTGTGCTGGGGACTGCGTAGGAGAGGTGGGTGGTCCTGCTGGCGGCCCCCGGACATGGTGGGGCGGCCGTCCTGGAGTCATTTTGTTTTCTTCCCGCTCTAACAGGGTGACACGGATGACCCTCAGAGTCCCCTTCGGGAAACCTACCCTGCTTGGATCCAGATGCCAAGAGCCCAGTGAAGCGGGGGCCTGACAGGCAGGCAGCGTCCACACTTGGTGTGGGTGCTGGGGCACAGTGAATGCACAGTTTACATGGTGGGAGTGAGACCGGGAAGGTGCATTTACAATTCTGTGTGGCAGATGGAAAAATGGATGTAAGCCCAGCGTGGGGCCCAGGAGCCCAGAAGGGACACTGACGGAGGAGCCATCTTGGAGCAGTGGTGATTGGTGAGAGGCAGTCTGAGAGGACTTCCTGGAGGAGGTGATCCCTGAGCTCAGTCCTACAGGGTATAGTAAGTTAGCTGGTGGTGGAGCTGGGACCAACAGCTGCAAGTACAGAGGCTCAAGAAAGCCTCCCGTGGCCCGGAATTAGCAATCATTCGGGGTGTCTGGGCCACCAAGGGACCAAGGGTCCAGGGCGTGCACCTCTGGGATTGATTATGATGGGGAGAGTTCATATGCTGCCATTCCTGAACATGTTTTCACGTCTGATGATTTCTGAAGGAGAAGACACTGCCTGTGTTCCTGGAATCCATGCCCCACTCTCTGATTACTCCTGAGATTTAGAAGGAAAGATGTATCTCGGAGAAGCTCGCTTCGTGGAAGTTTGGCAGAGCGTTTTTTGTGTTCAAAGGCAAAGGGATGACCCATCCCCAGTCCAGGCCAAGCTGCTGGTTGCCTCTCACCCCAGCCTCAGCTCTCTGTATCAGATGGGAGGGGCCTTTGTCAGACTCAACTGGGAGACTCGGCTGCTTTGTATGCTCCAGGCCTGTGGTTTGTGCCACAGTAGTTTAAAAAAGAAAAAGACAGGGATGCCTGGGTGGCTCAGTTGGTGAAGCGTCTGCCTTCGGTTCAGGTCATGATCCCGGGGTCCTGGGATCGAGCCCCGCGTCGGGCTCCCTGCTCAGCGGGGAGCCTGGTTCTCCCTCTCCCTCTGCCTGATGCTCTGCCTACTTGTGCTCTCTCTCTCTGTCAGATAAATAAAATCTTTAAAAAGAGAAAAAAGGGGCGCCTGGGTGGCTCAGTCAGTTAAGCGGCTGCCTTCAGCCCAGGTCATGATCCCAGGGTCCTGAGATCGAGTCCCACATCGGGCTCCTTGCTCAGCAGGGAACCTGCTTCTCCCTCTCTCTCCCTCTGCTTGGGCTCTCTGTCAAATAAATAAAATCTTTAAAAAAAAAAGAAAAAAAAAGAAAAAGGATCTCTGTTTCGCGCATATTAGGAGCTCACTGTAGGAGGCAGTGTGCTTTTTAATGTAGCTGCTGGTATTTGCAGCTCACTTAGAGGTCCGGCAATTTTCCTGTATGTTCAGAAGTCCGTTTCTGTAAATGTTGTTCTCAGAGGCTGTGGTCACAGAACCGTGGCCTTCAGGGAGAGTGTGGAGCTGACCGGGGGCCCTTAGATGCGGTCGATCTTGGCTGTGGCCGGGACACCCAGCATGCACACAGCCAGCTTGGTGCCTCATTGGAATTGGGCTAAATCCATAATTGCCAAAGTAAGATAAAGTCTTCAGGGACTTAATATTTGTAACGAGGAAAGAGCCCAGGGGTCCCTGGGAGCTCCTGGGAAGGTGTGCGGTCAACGCCATGCGCCAACACCCCCTTCACCCCACAGGCCCTGGGACCATGCGGATGACTCCCCACGGCTCTGTAGCTGGCACCAGGCTCCTTCTGTTAGAAGGCAAGCGGGTACCCCCATGAGTAGACATCCCAGCCGAGCACCTGACCACCCGAGGGGTGTCTAAGGGCTACCCCCTTGGCCACGTTGCTCTCGAACAAGTTGTGAGGACTTCATTTTTCCTCCGGTCCAGCTTCTCACGGTCTGTCTTTGTTGTAGGCGCTGCAGATCCGTCAATGTAACTGGAAGAAGGAGCCGATGGCTTTAGCTGGCTGCCCAGATTCCTTCTTGCACCATCCGTACTACCAGGTATGGGGGAGCGTGGACGGCTGCTGCCCGCACGTGGTGGTGGCCCAGGGTCACGGCACAAATGTAGTTAGCGACCACGACCCACTCCGTCCCTGGCAGTGTCTGTGCTAGAGCCTCTGGCATGTCCCACAGAGGATCACGTGTGGCTCCCATAGTTGTCCTCGCTTTGTGCTGGGAGACCTTGTCACATGTCCTCTCTGTCCGTGGCACCCTCTCTTCGAGAAGATTGTCCTTGTCGTGCGGCATTGCCTCTGATGCGCGGGAGGGGGTGTTTGGAAGGCGCAGGCGCCGTGGGGTCGTCTGCTGGGCCCCAGAGCTCCGGGTGGCGAGTGGCCGTGGCGGCTTCGGGGATGTTCATGCGGAGACACAGCATCTGGGGCAAGAAGTGGGGAGAGGGAGGTCTCTTGGCCCAGGCGCATGCAGCCTGCCTTCTGGAGATGGAGTCCTCCCCCCAAGACTGGCTGGCTCTTTTTCCCTCCACCCACTAGCCTCAGGTGGGGTTTGGTGAAGGACACATTCAGACCCATCCATCCAGGTTCTCGAGCTCCTCTCCATGGGCCGCTTGGTGGGTTTCCCCTGTACGCTTCCTTCATCTTCTGAACCACGTTTGTGTTTGAGCTTTTACTTGACAGTGTGGAGGGATGCATCTGAAGGAATGCACAAGCAAGGCTTGGGCCATCTTTTTTTTTCAGACTTTATTTTAGAGAGAGAGAGAGAGCACAAGCAGGGGGAGTGGGAGAGGGAAAAGCAGGCTCACCGCTAAGCAAGGAGCCCAATGGGGGCTCCATTCCAGGACCCCGGGATCATGACCTGAGCCGAAGGCAGAGGCCTAACCAACTGAGCCCCTCAGGTGCCCCAGGCTTGTCCATCTTTATCAGTCTCTCAACACTTCAGGTACTGGTACCATCTCTCATTCAGCCTCTGTCTCTCCCCAGCAGGCCTCCAAGGTTTGGAGGTCCTTCCCTACGCGCTACCCTTGCTCTGATATTGTTTTTCCCTCCCTTAATCTGTAAAGCCTCTCTGGCGATAGTGATGAGAATTTGCTTATGCACCACGGCTGTGGAGAGATTTTCCTTTTTAATTTTTTTTTGGCATCGAAGTGACCTGAACCTTCAAAGAGAGGCTGAAGGTTAGGAACACCGTTCGTTGTAGCCGCTGAATTTGAGACGAGACCGAAGCCAGTCAGAAGCCAAAAAAGAGAGCCAGCACCCTAGCCGAACTGCGGAGTATGCTGGGGACAAGTGGGTCTTTTCAGTGGGTGAGCTGTTTGCAAGGCCCTCTGCCTTCTGCAAGGTTCATTTCTTGTTCTTAAAGGGCCTCACCCGGTTGATTAAGCTCTGTGCTGCATTCATGACTCGTTCTCCCGTGGTCACTTAGCTTTGGCCAGTTGTCCGGGCCCAGACTATGCCCATCATCTGTCCTGCTTCACGCCATCACTCCCAAATGGAGGGGATAGATCAGTGCACCGTACGGGAAACTGTCCCTGCAGACTCCCCCGGGGACAGTTTGAAGGTTCCCTGCACTGAAAGTTGGTGGAGAAGTGTCCTCTCCAGCTGGTTACAGAGTGGACCTTGAGGGCCAGACCTGATGGAGGGAAGGGTCACAGCACTGAGTCCCCATCCCCCCCACCCCCCCATCTTCAGTTAACCCACCGGGCCATACAGAGATGGCAGAAGCACCAGGTACAGGTCACTCCTCACTCCCCAGACGCGCTGTTTGTCTTTGCTGACTCAGTTGTCCGAGTCAGTTGTCTGCCTCTGCAGGAGCCAGGAAGCCCTGGGTGCGTGGTAGGCAGCCCCAGCGAGCCTCTGTCACCCCTGGAGAAAATGATCAGTCATACTGTTTGGTGGCTTTTGATGGCACGGTCTTCCTCCCATAAAAATCCAGCAGCCAGACTTGGCAGCTCACATCCGCTGTTCCTGGAAAATCAGATGACAGTTCCAGAATTTCTCAGAAAACGGGATGATTTACAGTGAGTTCCAGCCTTGAGCAATCCGCAATTACAGCAATTAGAGAAATCTCCCGAGTTTTTATAGAGAAGAATTTCTTCAGATCGTCAACGTACAAACAGTTTTCTAATTCTAGCTGTTCACTCCGAGCTGGGGCGTGGATTAGTTACTGGGTTCGGTCAATGAGTTGCTGAGATGTAGAGCTATTTACGGACACAGAAGCACCCAAATTAGTATGCGCGTTAAATTATCCTGCTTTCTGCTGTAGGGACCGGGCCAGCAGATGGACGTGACGGGGCCCCGGGGCTGGTGGAATGGGGGGCAAACAGCTTCTCTTTTAAGACGTAGGTTTCTCCTTTAAAATATGCTATTGTTATAATTTTGTGGCCTTGTGTGTCGGGGGGGATCTTGTAATATTCTTGTGCCTCAGTTTCCCTTCTGGTAAGACAGGGTTAGTGGTGTCCAGGTTGCGTGGGGATCGGAGCAAACACACAGAAGTCGCCTGACACGGGGGTGGCCGCATCTTGGACACCCAGCCCAGGGTACTTACGTTTCATTCCTTGGTCACCCACGGTGGCCGACACAGTGTCAGAGCTAGGAAGACCGCTTTGCATGAGGCAGGCAGATTCCCGGGGCTCCTGGGTCCTAGTGGGGGAGGTGGACATGGGACAGCAGGCAAATAAGATGATTGTGAATGAGAATACGAGGCGAATAAAATAGGCCAGTGGGAGAGAGGTCAGGGAGGCCTCCCTGGAGGAAGTGCCCAGAGCCGGGGTGGAGCCCAGGCAGGACGGGGCAGGGCGCTCTCCGCAGACGACAGAGGAGGAAAAGCTTAGCCTGGGGAGGCCGGGGTGCAGGTGAGACTTTGGTCAGGTAGGAATGGTGGCTACAGCCCATCGTCTGCGATTTTAAAACCCCAAAAGCTCCAGACTGAGAGGTATTCTCATTTCTCACGTCACAGCTGACCCCGACTCGACTGCAGAGCTGTGCCCTTCAGGGTCATAATGGCTCCATTACCAGGCCTCCCTGGCCCCTGCATTCTCTCAAATCTGAAAAGTCCTAAATTCCCACCTCCATCTAGGCTCCAGGGTTTCGAGGAAGAGATTACGCACCTGTTATGAGGTGCATTCTATTTATTGACTATAAATGAAAGCAACACTTAACTATCCTTAAGAAAAAAGCAAAAAAATAGGAAGCGTGATAGGTTCAGGTAAAACGTGTGAACAGAACGTTAAACAGTGCTTTGGCAGTGAAATGCTCAAAGGTAAACATGATGGAGGTTATCAAGCTTACCGTTGAATTTCCAGATATTTATTCTGAGTATCGAGCTTTGCTTTTACAATTTTTATTCTTGATTTCTGAGTCAAAGACACGTATGTTTATGGGACGCCTGGGTGGCTCAGTCGGTTGGGCGTCTGCCTTCAGCTCAGGTCATGATCCCAGCGTCCTGGGATCGAGCCCCGCGTCAGGCTCCCTGCTCAGCGGGGCGCCTGCTTCTCCCTCTCCCACTCCCCCTGCTTGTGTGCTCTCCTGCTCTCTTTTGTTCAAATAAATAAATACAATCTTTAAAAACAAAACAAAAAAAACACGTATGCCTGTCTTCGAAGTCAGCATCTGAGAGAGTGTCCCTGTGACCCCCGCGCTTAGATGGAGGTCGGAGCAGTCTCCTGCTCACTAGCTCCTTACCTGCCACCGTCCGTCTGTGGAGCAAATTCCTACGGTCTGTCCCAGGCCCCCGTTGCTGCATGTTGCTCCTTTGGCTCCATTTCAGTCCCGGAGCCCAGAGCCTTTGGGCAGAGCTCAGGCTCTGGCAGGCGACAGCCGTGGGCCCGTACGGCCCCCTGCCTGCTTTTCTAAATGAAGGTTTATGGGACCAGGGCCATGCTCATTTGTTGACATCTCTGCAGTGGCTGATTTTGGGCTCAGCAGCCGAGTGGAGTGGCATCTGGCCCTTTGCAGAAGAAGTTTGTCAACTGCTGTTTTAGGACGCTGACTTCTCCAGTGAGTGCTGTGGGCCGACGGAGGCCACAGTGGGCCTCCTCATGTCTGCTGGCTTGTCTACTCATGATCGGGGCCACGGTGACAAGGTCAGAGCCCGAGCATGGGACCTCGCCTGCCGAGCACGTACGGCTGGGGGTGTTCTGCGGGATCCACGGGCGTCTGTGGACAACAGCTGGATTCCTGCATCTTCTCGCGGTGTCTGGAGCACCTGGGGGATGACATCATTCCTGTTGTCTTGACTTGGGATCAGTCCCCAGAAATGAATTCTGTTCCCAAATCCCATTTTTATCTTTTTAGCCAGGCAGGGATCCTGTACCTTCTTCATTTTTATTCTTATACATCTGTATCTTGACAAAAGGACGTTTATATTGGACTCCATTTTCTTCTAGAAATTTGTGGCTGGTGACTTCGGCTCCTCGTGGCTCTCACAGTCGAGCTGGAAGGATGCAGAGATCATTTGTCCCATCCCTTGTATTTATTTCATGAGGGCATCCCAGCTGATAGGATGTCTACCTAGAAGTGGTTTTGCAAATCATTTCAAGTTTCGGTTCTGAATTTCATAACAACCGCTCTTTTACAGAGGTGTTTTGTGAAGTAGAGGAGGGAATTTGTACGTGTGTAATGTACTATACGCTAAATAAATACCGTGTCCACTTCTTCTCTTTACAATATCACTGTGAAAATTAGACGTCACTTAGAGTCCTCGGCACAGTGCTCGGCGCATCAAAGACCCGCAGGAAACGAGCCATTGCTTTGATGTAACAATGTGAGCTGCTGTCTGATTTCTTAAAGAGTGTAGATCTCGTCTCCAGAAGTCGAATTATTAGGTGGTTTTGGGATACCTAGGTAAATTTGAGACTGCAGTCTTCCCAAGTCTTTGAAATCACTGCAGGATTGTCATGTAAAAATAGATGGCATTTGGTTTGGAAAACCGTTTTCTCCCTGATCTGGTACCATTTACTGGAACCCGATGTAGTGAATGACCTGTTAGTAAGCAGTGTGTGTTTATACTTTCTGTAACTTACGGAAGCCACTGAAAACTTTTTTTTT